CCCCTGATTTCATGCAATCACCTGCTTTGCCAAAAAGGCAAACCACGCAGTTAGGGGTCTCGCATCAGTAGGTCATAAAGCTGATCGCGAGGGAGGAGACATTCTAAGTTGTTTGGAGGTACCTCTATCACCATAGCATCCTTCTGCAAGCCGCACCATCTGTAGACTTGCGAGTATCGCGAGGCTCACTTCTTTGAAGAATGGTATTTCGTCGGAGGTTATACTGTCAGTAACTCGACGGTGACAGAAGGACAATCTATGTATTGATCCGTACCCGGAATATCCATTGGACGCTGCGATGTTACGGGCTATATTGAGCGATTCCTTTTTCAATTCAAAGTCAGAATATACCTTGCTGGCAGTCCTGAACATGCAGCGAACGACTGCTTGCTTTGTTCTCATCGGATATGCCGAACTATTGGGTTGGCCCGTAAGTAATGGCGTTTTTTCAACTGGAAATTTTGTTCAAAAAGTGAAAGTTTTGCGAGCAAGTTTGATATCATCTGATAGGAAACTTCTCGTACTATAAGAATATCGAAACAGCTTCGGGTGAGGAAATGATTTTTGTAAGTTTTTTAGTCGTTGAAGTTGAAAGTTGAGTCGGCGAAAATTATTCCTTTGTCATTTACGTCTATTCGAAGTGCTAAAATCGCTTAAGCTGCTCCATACATTTGCAATAGGTTGAGCTAGAAGTCCCAGCGAGGGAATCCTCATAGGACGCTTCGGAACTAATTTCAAGAATTTCGAAGTTGGCAACCTTCACCTCGCAGATAATGGGCAGGATCACAAGTCATCGCGTCTGTTCCACTTGAAATTTTATGGTAATAGTTGAATGTTTGAGAAAGCATGAGTAACAGATTAATATTAGGACGGCTCACAATTGATTTTGAGAAAAGCAAAACCGACAACGCTGACCTTGCAGACATCCGGTCGACCCATACCTCACGATTTTTTTTGTTTTCCTGATTAAATTTCAACACAATATTTACAACACTATAAAAAATATA